CAGACTTCTTTCCCATGGAACCTTGGGCTGACCAGGGTATTGCCTGAGTGGATTCCACCAGGTAACAGGGGCAGGCCAGCATAATGCCTGAACCTTTCATTCATGACCGTTGTTTGAACACCCCCACCCACCCACATGGTGAAAGAAGACTGTACCCCAAAAGTTGTCCTCTGACCTCAAGGCTGCACAGGCACAAATGTAAAGGAAATGTAAAAGTTGTTTTTTCCCCCAGTAGATACTTTAAAACACAGTCAAACTTATTATTTCATTATTTTTCAGAACAGGTGTTCTGCCTTTATGCCCAGATTCTGAAAGCATGCTGTTATTCTTTTGTTTAAAAAGAAGAAAAGAGAAATTGCTGAGACAGACATATTGACTATAAGTTTATTATAAGGGCCGGTAGAATGGGGAGACTAAGAAGAGGAACAGGGGTAAATGGCTGACCGCCATGGCCGGGCGCCATAGAGAGAGAGAGAGAGCACCCAGAGAGAGAGAGAGAGACAGGGGGAGAGAGAGAGAGAAAAAGAGAGTAAAGGGGCAGGAGCCTATCTTTTAAAGGGGTCCTCTGCACCTGCATGCAGACTTCTTTCCCATGGAACCTTGGGCTGACCAGGGTATTGCCTGAGTGGATTCTACCAGGTAACAGGGGCAGGCCAGTATAATGCCTGAACCTTTCAATTCAGCCTTCAAATGAATTGTAAGAGGAACTCAGAAGTACTTTCAACACCATTAACTTGTGTTTGTCAGATAAAACTTTACCCCAAATTGAACATGTGACAAAATCTTAATGGATAATTGAACTTTTATCTGAAGAAGCTGGAAGATGCTTAGAAGTTAGATAAGCCTCACGGGGTGGAACATTTCCCCCAATTTTAGCATGGGAGTGGAGTTCACAGAGCTTTGTGGCACTTAAGTTTGGTGTGTTCTTTGTGTTTCTGTCCTTTCTGGGGTACAGCAAAGTGAAATGATGATGAAAACACTGTATGACCTGCTGGAAGATCTCATGAGGAATTCCGGTCGTTAAAGGGTGCCTCCCCAACTCTGGACCAGAAAAGGCAATTTGATAAATGGAGCACTGGAAGAAATATCTGTGAACCAGAATGGCAACTTCCAGGTACCCCAGGCTCTGCTAGCTAATACCACTGTAGTCCTCAGACTCAGATAAGGTCAATACAGGTGAGGACATAAACAACCATTATGTCTATTGGTTGAGAAAATATGGTTTCATAGACTGGAAAAATTTTTTCGGGGATGTAGAATAATATAAAATAGAAGCAAAGTTAAAAAATAAATCAGTGCCCTTCTTGATTTTGTTTGGAGAGGATTAAAACAAACAACAAACAAGCAACCCACCAAAATAAACAAGTAAGCAAGCAAACAAAAAACAAAATAAAAGATACTCACTGTGTATTGGGTTTCATTTCCCAAAGCCTGTAAGGAAAAAGAATCTTTTATTGTTTGGGGAAGGAGACTTTCTTGAAGCAGTTGGAAACTTTCTCTTACAGGTGAAATGCAAGCTGTATTTGCAAATGAGGTGTGGATGTTTATTACACCCTCTCTGCTCCACCAGTGCTCAGTCTTATGCAATCTAAAGGCCCTCAGGAGGGAGCATCTGTTTTTCACTTCAGTGCAAGGCAAGCTGGGAAGCCTGTGTGCAGAATTTTCAAGTGGAGGAAGTCAGAATGGGAGAAAACAACTCCAGATTCTCTTCACACTTTGGTGTGACTGTTTTGAAACATTCTCTCAACAAGGGGCAAGTCCTCATCTCTCTACAGATGTGCAGAGGCATCCATCGTCACACCCCACCCACAGCTACCTTTGTCAAGTAAGTGGAGATAAGTGTGTTGATACAGTTTTCTTTTTGTAGCATTTCTTAATTTGTATTTTTTACTTGGTAATTTCCTTTTTGTTATTTGTAAATAATAGCTACTGGTTTCCAGAAACTATCACTTTTATGCACTTTTGGAAGGAGGAACCTGTCAACGCTGCTGATTTGGACAGGTTACTGGTACTGTAGAAATGGCTCATGGGTACAGATTCTCTCTCCTGCCCTTTGTCCTCTATCCTGTGATGACAAAGCAACAAGTCCACATCAGATACTACAGTCTTGATCTCAGACTTCCTGGCCTCCAGAGCTGTATGGAAAAAACCTCCTGTGCTTAATAAATTCCCAGCTCGGGGGGGGGGGGGGGGTACTCTGCCATAGCACCATAGCACCTGAGATAACAAGAGGACAGGTTTTCTTTTGTTTGTTTTGTTTTTTGAGGAGTGTTGTTTTCCTATGTCATTTCAGGTGCTAAAAATAGTGTAGGTTTTAATTTACTGTTAACTTATTAAGAGAAAATACAAGTGTGTAGCTCAGTAGTATAGAACTTATTTAATATGTACAAGGCCCTAGGTTTGATCCCTAGCAGGGAAAACAAATTAGAACCTTTGACTGTCTGTCATCTGTTTAATCACTTTAGGACTTGGGATGATAATCAGGAACATCTAGGGGGATTATTTAAAGCAATGTTCCATGAATATAAAGTGAAATTGATTCCACAAATTTAGAAGTTAAAGCCTCCTAGTTGAGTCCTTAATGTCTTGTTTGGAGATAAGACAGAAGAGCTCTGGGTGCCACCATTTTGGTAACTGTCCTGGTTTTGGAGCCTTCCTGCCACATCGAGAGGGTCCACTATACAGTTGTTAGAGGGCAGAGTGTGTGGACATGCTGCATCCAATCTGTGTTGTGGATACCAACATTCTATTTCATCTCTGCAGTTCAAAGTCTCCTGATATGAGAAATTCCTCCTCAGTGGTCATAAAAACCCCTTCTGAAGCTTCCCAAGTATCTCCCCCTAGTTTTCAGTCTTCTTATATCCTTGATGTTATAGATTCATGCTTCCTATTTTTTTGAATTTTATTGGCTTAAAAGGCCCTCAGCACTAGGAAATAATACAATTTAATCACCAAGTATGCGCTAAATATATTCTGAATCTCAATCCCAACACAGACTTCAAACCTTGCCCCACGCACTATTGCATATGGTGATATCATCCTATGGGTTTCATTTTCATACCACAAGCATACAAGATGAACTTTTTTATTAAAAGGTGAGGCAGGCCAGGCGTTAGTGGTACACACCTTTAATCCCAGCACTCGGGAGGCAGAGGCACTCGGATCTGGCCAGCCTGATCTCCAGAGCGAGAGCCAGGATAGGCTCCAAAGCTACACAGAGAAACCCTGTCTCAAAAAACAAAACAAAAACAAAACAAAACAAAAAGGTGAGGCGGTTGGGATAAAGAGAAGTTGCTAGCTCCACCTTAACACCTTTAGATGGTGATGCATGTATTCATAGATACTTTTAGACAGAGGAACTTGCTCCTTCTCTAAACTAAATAGAAGAACCATTGTTGAGAGCATATTTTTAGTGTGTGAGAAAATTGATTTCATTTCGTATGAAGAGTTCCATTCTTCAGATCAAAGGCATGTAATTAATTGATGTTCAGCCTGACAAACATGAATCGTGTGAGATATGTTCAGCATGTGCACAAGAGGCTCAGACCTTCCTCTTTAGAAATTTGTCATTAATTATAAAGAAATGTGCTTGATTAATAGGTACAATGGTGTATAACTAGACAGGAGGAGTAGGTACTGGTGCTCTAGACACAGAGGAGAGCAGATGTAATTAATGATAAAATAGAGAGTGGAATTTGACTGCACATGCTATAAAGAAATGATGACCATGCAGGGTGATAGATGAGGTAATTAGCCTGATCCCTACCCAGTGTGTGCTTGAATTGAAACATCAGCCTGTACCTCATAAACGTACAAAAACATTCTTGGACTTTCTCGTAGTTTTGCATGTCCATTCCTTTTCCTTCATTGCTGTTCTCTGACAGTTCATGTGATTGTAGCATCACTCTTCCAATGGGAAGACAGAGGTTTGGTGTGAGCACCACACCACTCCACTGTCATCTAATTTTCCTCCTGCGTATTCATTTCCTGTTATGTGCCCACCTCCCTGCCCCAAGATGTGCTATGTTCCTATAACCAGAGGTTTCACACTGGAGGCCAGAAGGTCCATGTGGTCTGCAAATGAGTTGTATGTTACCCACATAAAAGTTTATTCTAAAAATTGATCCATCATTTAAGTATAATGAGAGTTTCCAGGAAAGTTTTGGGTCCTAGACTAACAAACAAAACAAAAGTTGACTTATGAGTAAAAGGGGCTGGCAGTATCTACTGACCTGGCAAAGCCAGGTGTATTCTTTTAACTGATCATAGTGTGTCTACAACACTTTGCAGTTCTGACCTGGTGGCTAAGTGGCTGCCCTCAGTGCAGCACTGACATTGGAATATCAGAATTCCTATCCTTAATCCACTCCAATGTACCTATTAGCTCATGGGTACCCAAGTATACAAACTCTGGAAGGATGATGCTTTTCTTCTGCAAAGTAGTTGATGGGTGCTGCAATTGTGATTCACTCACTGTCTTAGTTAAGGTTTCTATTAATGTAAAGAGAGCATGACCACAGTAACTCTTTTTTTTTCTGTCCTTCCTAAAATATTTTATCCATCAATTTGTTTTTTCCCATTTTTTATTAGAAAGAAAATTATTTCACATGTCAGTCCCAGTTCCCTCTCCCTCCCCTCCTCCCCTGTACCCCCAACTAACACCCTACCCATCCCATACCCTTTCTGCTCCCCAGGGAGTGGTGAGGCCTTCCATGGGGGATAGGAATGGACTTTAGGAGCCCATCCCACATGGAGGGATACTCCCTGAGCCTAGCCACAGCAACTCTTATAAAGAAAATATTTAATTGGGCTGGCTCACTCACAGTTTCAGAGGTTCAGTGTGTTATCATCATGGCAGGGGGCATGGCAGCATACAGGCAGGTGTGGTGCTGGAGGAATAGCTGAGACTCCTACATCTTGCAGCCAACAGGAAGTCAACTGAGACACTGGGAGGCATCCTGAGCATAGGAAACCTCAAAGCCCATCCTGCACCTTTACACACTTCCTCCAACAAGGCCATACCCACTCCAACAAAGCCACAACTCCCAATGGTGTGACTCCTAATGAGATTATGGGGACCAATTACATACAAGCTATCACACTCACCCAAGAAGTTATTTGTATAATGCTGTTTTACCCTCAGGAATCAATGTCATTTGGTGACCCTATTAATGGAAAAATCATTCTTTTTCAAAAGTAAGATTTTAATTCATTTTGAATATCAATTATTATCAGGTAAGATCCAGGGATCAGGATTTTCTTAGAATTGTATATTCCATCTTCATCTCAGAAATCCTAGATAATCTGAGAATTTTTAGAAGTAGTTCTACATAGTGTCTGAGATCTTCCCAATTCAGAACCTTGCTAAAGATCACACAGACCAATATTCAAACTTAAGTACTGATACTTCGAGTTACAGTAATGGCAGCTGTGTAGATATTTATAAGATGCACCAATGAATCAATGAAGTGTGATCTATTGTATGTGCTGCCAAGATTAACCTCAAGATACAGTGTCAGCTTGATTGTCTCTCCCTTTCACTATTCCTGCCATCTACATGATTGTCACAAAATCTCTCCCTTGAACCAGTCTAAATCTTTATTGGCTGATTGATTGATTGAAATAAGGTCTCACTACATAGCTCTTGGAGGCCTGAAATTCACTATGCAGACCAAGCTGTTCTTAAACTCACAAAGATCTATGTGTATCTGCCTCCCTTGCAGTGTGTGCTACCATGCTGGCTCCGTAGCATCTTAACTGGCTTCCTGGTTTGTACTCTTATCCCCTCTACTGTTTATTTTCCACATTGTACCCATAGTGCACATAGTCTATAGTAGAACAGACAAGATGCTGCAATTATTTGCTTGACACCCTGGGTCCTTTCTTAGGCAATGAAGAAAAGTTAATATGAACAGAAGAGTGACCTGCACTACTGGCTCAAGTCCATCCTCACTAAACAATGTGGTCTCCAAATTCTTAGTTCCACCTACATTGTTTTTTCACTTCTCTCATGATATTTCTGGAATATCACCCCCTTTTTATCACTTAAATGGATTGCTTCCAAACTTTCTTAGAGAGATCTTTCATCAACCATAATTCAGCTATTTGATTATCTATACAATTGTTCTGTATCCATAGGTTGTGTTGCTATGGATTCAACTAACTGGAGAATGGGAAAAATTGTATCTGAATGCCATTGTTCCCTAAGCAATGTAGTATGAGATACATCTGCATAGCTCACATTCTATATCCTATTATGAGTAATATAAAAGTGACATAAGGAATACATGGGAAGGTATACCTGTGTATATTCACTAATGCATACTACTTAAGTATATGAAAATTCTACATTATTTAGTATAAATAACTTGAACTTCCTTAAACTCTCAAACACACACTGAGGGGTAGCTACACATATATACATGTATGTGCATGCAAACCATATATTCCAGCTACACTTTGACTTTCCTTCATTTAACTTCTCAATTTGTACCTATGTAAGTAGGCTATCTTTCCAGCTCAATATGATTAGACATATTTTATTGTCAGCTACTGAACAGGAGCACATCTGTGTTTCTAGTTTGGGTACCTGAGCACCAACTGCACATATGTTCACACTAAACATTTGTTCTCTTTAGTTGTGTAGTATAAATGCAAGGAAAGGAAGAACAGGAGGAAGACATACGGTTTCAGCATGCCTTGAACAGTCTTATTTTTTTCCTTCAGTTGACCATGTGGTCTTGCTGATATTGAGTTTGGTTCAAGAGTATCCACAATGATCAGATCCTTTGAAAAGCAGACACAACAAACCTGAGTGATTTCTCA